AGCGATCTTTGATCTTGATTTTGATGCTATCCTTACTGCTATGTATGTTGTGGATTATAGTGAGGAGAATGAGGGTTACCGGTGTTTTCAGCCCGACCCGGGCATTGGTACTGCTGCGCTAGGTGCTTGTGAGGCTGCTGCTCTAGGTGCCAGTGCGTCTGCGCTCTCAGGTACTGGTGAGACTGCGCTCTCAGGTACTGAGTCGTCCTCGTCCTCCCTCACTTTCACACTTGACTCCGGAGCTTCTCGCTCCTTCTTTCGAGACCGCACTACCCTTTCGCCGCTCGCCAGGCCGGTTGCGGTCTCCCTTGCTGACCCCTCTGGGGGTCCTGTCCTGTCTCACTTCTCCACTGTCCTCCCGTGTCCGGCTGCCCCTTCGGGCACCCTGTCGGGTCTGTACCTTCCCTCGTTCTCTACGAACTTGGTGAGTGGAGCGGACCTGCAGGATGGGGGTGTTCACCAGTTCACTCCTGCGCGTCAGCGGGTGACCCACTGCACGGAGGCTCGCACAGGCCGACACCTGGCCACGTTCTCGCGTCGGCCGGGGTCGAGTCTCTACACCCTGACCGTTGAGTCTCAACCTGTCCCTGCGTCTGGTCAGGTGGCTGCGTCGGGTCAGGTACTTGCTGCTGCGTCCCGGTCAGGTCCTGAGTCTGCCCCCTGTTCTTGTCGCCTCCTGTCTCACGAGACTCTCCTGTGGCACCACCGTCTTGGCCACCCCTCCTTGCCCCGTCTTCGGAGCATGGCTTCCCGTGTCCTTGTCTCTGGTCTTCCCCAGTCTCTCCCTCCTCTCCCCTCCGGGCCAGGACCTTCCTGTGTCCCCTGTGTCGAGGGTCGCCTCCGGGCTACTCCTCACTCCTCCCACTTCCCCCCGACAGAGGCTCCCCTGCAGACGCTTCACATGGATGTGTGGGGCCCAGCCCCCGTCCGTGGGCAGGGGTACGAGCGCTACTTCCTGTTGGTGGTTGACGACTACTCGCGTTACACCACGGTCCTCCCCTTGCGCAGCAAGGGTGCGGTCACTGAGGTGCTGATCGACTGGATCCGCGAGGCTCGTCTCCAGCTCAGGAAGAGCTTCGGCTCGGACTTTCCTGTTCTGCGTCTGCACTCTGACAGAGGCGGAGAGTTCTCTTCTCGCCTTCTGCGAGACTACTGTCGTGCACGGGGGATCCGCCAGACCTTCACGCTTCCGGACTCACCACAGCAAAATGGGATTGCTGAGCGCCGCATTGGCATGGTCATGGATGTCGCTCGTACGTCCATGATGCATGCGGCTGCCCCCCATTTTCTGTGGCCGTTTGCGGTGAGGTACGCGGCGCATCAGCTCAACCTTCACCCCCGGGTCTCTCGGCCAGCGATGTCCCCAGCCTTGCTGTGGACGGGGAAGGTTGGCGATGCGTCTGTGTTCCGTGTCTGGGGATCTCGGGCGTTTGTCCGCGACTTGTCTGCGGACAAGCTGTCCCCTCGTGCTGCTCCCTGTGTCTTCCTTGGCTTCCCCACTGACGCCCCAGGGTGGCAGTTTTACCACCCCTCCTCTCGTCGTGTTCTGTCCTCCCAGGACGTCACGTTTGACGAGTCAGTCCCCTTCTACCGTCTCTTCCCCTACCGCACTCCTTCCCTCCCCCCTCCCCCGGACTTCCTTGTGCCGGTTCCCCCCCCGGTAGACCCCCTCCCCCCTCAGGTTCCTGCCCCCTCAGGTGTGTCCCAGGTAGACGCCGTTGACCCGGTCGAGGTTACTGGTGACTCTGGTGCTGCTGCGGGTGCTGAGCCTGGGGGTGCTGACTCTGGGGGTGCTGTGCGCGGGGGTGCTGAGCCTGGGGGTGCTACTGCTGGGGGTGCTGGGCCTGAGGGTGCTACTGCGGAGGGTGCGGAGCCTGGGTGTGCTGAGCCGCGGGGTGCTGTGCCTGGAGGTGCTGGGTCTGGGGGTGCTGGGTCGGGAGCTGCTGAGCCTGGGGGTGCTGAGCTGGGAGCTGCTGAGCCTGGGGGTGCTGCGTCTGGAGCTGCTGAGCCTGGGGTTTCTCCTGCTGCTGCGTCTCGCCGGGAGCCCCTCTCTCCACAGGAGCTGCGCGAGTGGTTCGCTCGCCGCTGGAGGCGTGCTACTGAGTCTGGAGGTGCTGCTGGAGCTGGAGCTGGAGCTTCTTCGACCGTCGAGGGTGCGGGTGCAGCCGGTCCCGGAGCTGCTGGCCCTGCAGGTCCTCCTGGAGCTGGAGCTGCTGAGGGCGTTCGTGCTGAGCCTGCTGCTGTTGGTCCTGCCGCTGGAGGTGTGGGTGGCGCTGGTGCTGTCGCTGAGGGTGCTGGTGCTGTCCCTGCTGAGTCTGGAGCTGCCGCGCGGCCTCGGCCGTACTTCGTTCCGCTCCTTCAGCAGGTTCTTGGTCTTTCTCCTCCAGTAGAGGGTCCACCGCCTGTCCAGTCGCAGTCCCTGCTGGAGCCTTCCTCTCCACTGCCTGCTCCCTCTCCTTACACTGGTCCTACTGGAGGTCTTGCTGAGCGTCGTGAGCCTGCGTCTCATCCCGCGTCGCCTGTTCGTGCTGCTCGCGCTAGTGGTCGCAGTTCGCGTCAGCGTCCTCCTCCTGTCCCTGGCACGCACCGGATGTCTTTGCGTCCGTCCACTGCTCCTCTGCGTGCCCCTTTGCCTTCTCCTCCTGAGTCCTCTCTTCCTGCGCTTGCGGACCCTGAGTCGGACTCTCTTCGTGCTGCCAGTCCCACTGTCACGCGTCTCCTTGCTACTGTCGTCACTGACCCCTCTTTTGAGTCCACTGCTGCGTCTGCTCTAGTCGCTGAGCTCGTCGACTTTGCTGCTCGCTGTCGTCTCGACTACGCTGCTAGTCTTGTTGCTGAGTCTGCGTCTGTCTGTCCTCCGTCCGTCGGGGGTGAGTGTGCTCTTGGCACGGACGTCCTAGAGGACAGGCAGGAGGAGTTACAGTGTCTAGCGGCTGCTTCACCTCATCTCGCGTCTGTACTGCTTGCCCCTGAGGGAGACCCGGATGCACTAGACATCCCGACTCCGCGTTCTTACGCGGAGGCCGTAGAGGGTCCCTACTCCTCTCAGTGGCAGGCAGCTATGGATGCAGAGATGGCTTCCTGGAAGTCCACAGGCACCTACGTTGACGCGGTTCCCCCTCCTGGGGCGAACATCGTCAGTGGCATGTGGATCTTCAGGGTGAAGCGGCCGCCGGGCTCTCCACCTGTCTTCAAGGCACGGTACGTTGCTCGTGGCTTCAGTCAGCGGCAGGGAGTTGACTACTTTCAGACCTTCTCTCCCACCCCGAAGATGACCACTCTTCGGGTGCTGCTGCACATAGCCGCTCAGCGCGACTACGAGCTTCACTCTCTCGACTTCAGCACTGCGTTCTTGCAGGGTAGCCTGCACGAGGAGATCTGGCTTCGCCGTCCACCTGGCTTCACTGGGACTTTCCCTCCTGGCACCCAGTGGAGCCTCCGACGGCCAGTCTACGGTCTCCGCCAGGCACCGCGTGAGTGGCACGACACACTGAGGACTACGCTTGCGGCTCTTGGGTTTGCTCCTTCTACTGCTGACCCGTCGCTGTTTCTTCGCACCAACACTTCCCTGCCGCCGTTCTACATCCTCGTGTACGTCGACGACCTGGTCTTTGCCACAGCGGACACTGCTGGACTCGCCTACGTGAAGTCCGAGCTGTTGAAGAGACACACGTGCACAGACCTGGGTGAACTGCGCAGCTACCTTGGCTTGCAGATCACTCGGGACAGAGCACGCCGCACCATTACCTTGACTCAGTCACACATGGTGCAGCAGGTCCTTCAGCGCTTCGGCTTCACGTACTCCTCGCCTCAGGCCACTCCTCTGCCTACTCGCCACTCACTCTCAGCTCTGCCTTCGGATGAGTCCGTAGAGTCGAGTGGTCCGTATGCGGAGCTTGTTGGCTGCCTCATGTACCTGATGACCTGCACACGACCTGACCTTGCATACCCTCTGAGCATTCTTGCACGCTATGTTGCTCCTGGGAGACACAGACCAGAGCACATGGCTGCAGCGAAGAGGGTATTGCGCTACCTGTGCAGTACGTCAGGCATGGGGCTAGTGCTTGGAGGGCGGAGTCCAGTGGTCCTTACCGGCCACGCGGACGCTTCTTGGGCTGACGACCAGGCTACGCAGCGGTCGTCACAGGGTTACACCTTCAGCCTTGGTTCCCGCTCTGTCTCGTGGCGGTCTACTCGCTCGTCTTCGGTTCTCGGCTCCAGTTGTGAGGCTGAGATCTACGCCGGGGCCATGGCTGCACAGGAGCTTCGCTGGCTCACCTACCTGCTGACTGACCTTGGAGAGCCGCCTCGTTCTCCTCCAGTGCTGTACGTAGACAACAAGGCTATGCTGGCCTTGTGTCGAGAGCAGCGCTTGGAGCACAGAACGAAGCACATTGCTCTCCGCTACTTCCTTGCTCGTGAGCTGCAGCAGCGTGGTCAGTTGCGACTTGCGTACGTGGCCTCTGAGGCCAACACTGCTGATGTGTTCACCAAGGCACTTGCGCCTTGTGACCATCAGCGCTTCTGCACCCAGCTGGATATGTTACACTGCTCTGGCAGTGTAATGAAAAAGTGCACACTGCCCAGAAGGGTTTTTAAAATAGCTACACTGCCAATCGTGAGCTAGCCAAATCCAAAACGAAGCCCTGGCTCCGACCACCACCACGACCAAGAAAAGCAAACACTCTTTTTGTGCTGGAAAACCCATTGGCCTTTGCATCAGCCTGCTTTTGGCATTGTGCATGCCAAGTGCAGTGTATCCACATGGCCACTTCGTTTTTCCATGAAACAACCATACAGGACCTTACACCCAACGCTCACCTGATGGGTCAGAGAAGAGGTTAGCATACTGATTCCTCAGAATAAAAATATTGTTGATACTTATTCCAGAGAGACATAACACATGCACATCCTGCTTCCCATTCAAATCTGTTGCAAAGCTATGCGTAGTATCAACCATCTCCAGTACTTGCTCCCCATTCTCACCAGACATTCAAATATCACCTCCCGTCTTTCCTGTGCAAGCATGCCACCACTCCCCTCCTCCCACCACTGCCCGTCCGCTCATCCACCTTCACCCACACGTCCTCTGCCCCCACACACACCCACCGGCCTGCCCCACCATCCACATACTGCCCTTCCCAGTCACCGTCAGCAAGAGCTGCCGCCACAGAGTCAGCCAATGCAGGTGGCACAGATTCCTGTCCCAATGAGCCCTGCCCCACTGGACCCTGATTTGCCTGTCCCTGCTCCACTGCTCCCTGCACCGCCAGGTGAGCCAGCACAAAGTGGTGCAGCGACGGGGCTGCACCCGCATCCCTCTCCCCCACGCCTCCTTCCACCGCAACACCATCCACCCCCTCCCACCGCACCTCATCCTCCCATACCACTGCTTCTGCTGCCCCTCCTGTTTCCCCTCTTCCTTTCTCACCACACCCCTCCCCACACACTTCCCCACGCAACTCCCCATCTCCATCCCCCACACCAGCCACTGGAAGCGCGTCCTCCACTCGTTGTGATACCATCTCAGCAGGTGAGGCGCCACCTCCCACACGACCTGCTTGTGCCTCCACCTGCACCTCTCTCCCTCCCTTCTCATCCCTCGCAGCACCCATCCCTAACCCTTCCATCCCTCTACACACTCCTGCAGACACACCCTCCGCCCCACAGTCCGCTTCTTCTCCGCCTGCTCCCCAATTCCCTCCCATTCCTTTCCAGTACGGCGGTAATAGCCTTGGTGTTGGGTCAAGCGGCTCCGAACCAAGAGCGGGGTAGACTGCCAAGCCTGGCCCAGAGGTTCGGGTGAAATGCTCCTCGTCAAGAGAGACTATCCGAGGCACAACTGCTGCGTTGAGAAACACGGTGTGGCTGCTGGCATGGGCGGTGGTGTGGGTGCTGTCAGAACTATTGGAGGGAGCAACAAGAGGCGCGCTACCAGCAACAGGCATAGAGAGTACAGGATGGGGAGTGGCAGCGGCTAGAGGGGAGGTGGCAGAGGTGGGCAGCGGAGAGGCAAGGTGCAGCAGAACAGCAGCCATGCGGCGCTGGGTGACAACCTCCCCTTGCCGCGTGGGTGCGATGTGAGGGGTGGTGAGGCGGTTGGAGCGCGAGCGGTAGTTGAAGGGGAAGAGGTCGCGGTGCATGTGGCCAAACACCACCAGTGGGATGTGCCGCCCGTCTTCCAGCGATGCTGTAACAGCGCTGGATAGATCTGAGGGGAAGGAGCGCATGAGAGGACGAGGGAAAGAGTGGTCGAAATGAGAATTACATCCATTTGGCCCAACATCAGCAGACAGCAGCAGAGGGCTGCGGCGCCTGCCAGCCAGAGATGCTGTGACCGCCTTTTTTAATGCTCGGGGGGAGATGCCTGTGGAAGGACGAGAGGACGCGTTGTTCGAAGGAGACGGGAAGGCAGTGCATGTGCATGTGGACGGGGAGCAGCAAGAAATGTGAAGTTCGTTTGCCGGAGCTGCTGTGCTTGCTCGTGCAAGGCTGATTGGGAGGGGGAGTGGGAGAAACGACCATGGCGGATGGGATTCGTCTGTTTACCATAGAGTAGTGATGGAGAGGTCATGGGCGGGCGGGAGTGGTGCGTTACAGAGGGACAAGGGCAGGAAGGGGAGGGACAAGGGCAGGAAGGGGAGGGAAAAAACGACAGCAGGAAAGGAAGAACACACCCCCTCCCAACCCCACCCCTCCTCTCACCTTCATCCCCGAAGTCGCCCCCCGGTGGCAGCCCCTTGGAGGGGAAGTCCTTGCCACATATGTCCCACGGGTGGGAGCCCAGGCCTGAAAGGGAGGAAGCATGGCGATGGCATGAGGTAAAGCAGGGAGAGCGTTTGAAGGAAAGGACAACCACAGATGCCATTTCACCACATGTAACAGCACATTTGCACCACACGCCAAGGCATCTCATGCAATGTCATCGCCTGCTCTCCTGGCTGGCTGCACGACCGTTGCAAGCCCAGCAGTGAGCAACAATGCTGGGAGATGGCTGGTAATGTTCGGAAAGCAGACATGGAGCTGCATTTGTGGCACTGCAGCATGATGCCACCACGCCCCACGCCCCACGCCCCACCACCATCAGATGCTCGTGTGTGAATCAATTGATAAACAAACAAACAAACAAACAAATAAACGTAAAGATATCCCATCATCATCAGAATCCGACTCACCTGCAGGCCCATTGTGTGCGAGAACGACAACGCTGTGGGACTCCGGTGCTGCTCGGATGGTCTCTGTGATCTTTGCCGTGCTGGCGTTCATGGTGCGCACTCCACACCTGATGGCACGTGAGGATACATGGATGTATAGATTGCATGCATGTGCGAGCACCCTCTCTGCAACTGATGCATGGCTGCTTCTTATCATACATCATACCCACCACCGCAACCTCTCTGCACCTTACCTCCTCCCTGCGTTCCCCACTGTAACCTCTCTGTAGTCTGCACCTTGGAATCTCTCTGCACCTTGGAATCTCTCTGCACCTTGGAACCTCTCTGCACCTTGGAACCTCTCTGCACCTTGGAACCTCTCTGCACCTTGGAACCTCTGCACCTTGGAACCTCTCTGCACCTTGGAACCTCTCTGCACCTTGGAACCTCTCTGCACCTTGGAACCTCTCTGCACCTTGGAACCTCTCGGCACCTTGGAACCTCTCTGCACCTTGGAACCTCTCTGCACCTTGGAACCTCTCTGCACCTTGGAACCTCTCTGAACCTTGGAACCTCTCTGCACCTTGGAACCTCTCTGCACCTTGGAACCTCTCTGCACCTTGGAACCTCTCTGCACCTTGGAACCTCTCTGCACCTTGGAACCTCTCTGCACCTTGGAACCTCTCTGCACTTTGGAACCTCTCTGCACCTTGGAACCTCTCTGCACCTTGGAACCTCTCTGCACCTTGGAACCTCTCTGCACCTTGGAACCTCTCTGCACCTTGGAAACTCTCTGGACCTTGGAACCTCTCTGCACCTTGGAACCTCTCTGCACCTTGGAACCTCTCTGCACCTTGGAACCTCTCTGCACCTTGGAACCTCTCTGAGCCTTGGAACCTCTCTGCACCTTGGAACCTCTCTGCACCTTGGAACCTCTCTGCACCTTGGAACCTCTCTGCACCTTGGAACCTCTCTGCACCTTGGAACCTCTCTGCACCTTGGAACCTCTGCACCTTGGAACCTCTCTGCACCTTGGAACCTCTCTGCACCTTGGAACCTCTCTACACCTTGGAATCTCTCTGCACCTTGGAACCTCTCTGCACCTTGGAACCTCTCTGCACCTTGGAACCTCTCTGCACCTTGGAACCCCCCACGGCCCCACCTGGCGCGGTAGAAGCTCTTAGCCCAGCTGGAGGGGCCGTAGGAGAAGGGGCGCGCTCCCACGATGGACAGGCGCCACTGGGGGAGGTCCACCCGCCCGTACCCCACGTGTAAACTGCCTAGGCTGGTGGGGCATAGAGAAGGCACGATTTAAGAGATACAAGCAAAGTATAAGTTTCACGGCAATGGGGAATGTAGGTCAAGGATGACGGCGTGTGATAGTCAGTCAGGAGACCAAACAGGGTTAAAGAAGAGGAAGAGGATAAGAAGATTCGCGTTGGTGCTGGGGAAACAGGCGAAGACAGCGCTGTATCACATGTGATGTTCTATCACGAAGAGGAGCAGGTGATGTAATGAAGACGTGGTGGCAAGCAGTTAGGAGTTCCACTAGACAGAGTGGGAGCATGAAGTGAGTTGAGAAGTGGTGAGGGATAGGTGGAGGAAGAGCATACGCTTCAAGCTGCTGAGTGAGCTTATCCACTGCGTCCACCAGTGGCGCACTCTCTTTTCTGCACTCCACACAGAACCACATGAACACATCGGGCACAGTGAGGGACATACCGGGTACAGTGAGGGACATATCGGGCACAGTGAGGGACATATCGGGCACAGTGAGGGACATATCGGGCACAGTGAGGGACATATCGGGCAGAGTGAGGGACATATCGGGCACAGTGAGGGACATATCGGGCACAGTGAGGGACATATCCAGGGTTTAAAAAAACGACCGTTTTTTTTGAAAATTTACCGTAAAAAACGGTATCGTAAAAAACGGTCGTAAAAAACGGTTTCAAACAGTCCCAGGAGGTGTTTCCTGTTTAACAAACAAAACGGCCACTTAGTGGGACCAGATTGAACCCGGAATGCAGCAGCATGAAGGGGACGGACCCCTTCTTGCATGTATGCACTTGCTGGCATGATTGAAAATGTTTTTGACCTTGTTTTTTTCTTTTTTTCTTTTCCTGGTGAACAGAGTTCTCTAACAAAAAAACGGCCGTTTTTTTTTTTTTTTTTTTCGAAAAATCACCGTAAGAAACGACCGTAAAAAACGGACCGTATTTTACGAAAACCGTAATTTTGATCCTTGGACATATCGGGCACAGTGAGGGACATACCGGGCACAGTGAGGGACATATCGGGCACAGTGAGGGACATATCGGGCAGAGTGAGGGACATATCGGGCACAGTGAGGGACATATCGGGCACAGTGAGGGACATATCGGGCACAGTGAGGGACATATCGGGCAGAGTGAGGGACATATCGGGCACAGTGAGGGACATATCGGGCACAGTGAGGGACATATCGGGCACAGTGAGGGACATATCGGGCACAGTGAGGGACATCGGGCACAGTGAGGGACATATCGGGCACGGATGAACAACTCGGGCATGGTGAGGAACATGTGGTGCGCACGCTTATCCACTGCATGCATCAGTGGCGCACTCTCCTTCCTGCACTCCACACAGAGCTACAGGACCAATCATTAATAGACCAGCTGAGAATCCATGGCCAAGGACACACGTGGTGCGTGCGCTTATCCACCAGGCCCACGAATTGAGATCATGGAATACTGACGACAGCCCGCGTCATATGTTGCATTTCTGCGTTCTTTGACCATGTTAAATCCATTTAAGCTCAAGAGCAGCACCTGAACATGTGGGGCCAACAAGCACCAGAACACCTGAAAGCACCTGAACATGTGGGGCCAACAAGCACCAGAACATCTGAAAGCACCTGAACACCTGAAAGCACCTGACCACCTGAAAGCATCTGAACACCTGAAAGCACCTGACCACCTGAAAGCACCTGAACACCTGAAAGCACCTGAACATCTGAAAGCACCTGAACATGTGGAACCAGGCGTCATGGTTGCCGAGGATGACTGCCACCTCCACCTGCGCGCCCACAGCGCCCATCATGGCCTTCACTGCCGCCACCTGCCGCACCAGCTGCACCTGCTCCTCTCCAAAGTCCCCTGCACGCCAGGAGTTGGGCGGGCATGGGATGGTGCAGCCATAAACAGCGACTCAACAATAGCCGCACGACCTCCACCTGCGCGCCTACAGCCCCCATCATGGCTCTCACCACCACCGCCACCTGCTGCACCCACCCGCTCCCCTCCAAAGTCCCCTGCATGCCGTAGGTTGAGTGTAGGGTGGTGCGTGGTTGATAAAAGGGCGTCCACACGATGCATTGGGTGGTTTTTCAGGCGGCTCAGAACGATCCCTGCCAAGCTCGCCTGCACCCACCCGTTAAGTTGGGGATATGGTTTGGCCCACATGTTCCACATGCACAGGCGTACACACGGTGACGTGCTGCATGTGTGGTGTGACACACAACGCCGTGTTGCATTCAGATTCGAAGACACAATACCATCACATGAGTAGAAGCACTAGCAAGGCGGAAGTTGCAGCTGTGGTAACAACAGCAATGCTAGCATGGGAGCAAAGGGCGGAGAAGGCGAGCTGGAGGTTTTGCAACGTAAGAAGGCTTACGCGTGGTGGAACGACAGGCAAGCAAGCGAGGGATGGAATGAGCAGGCACACACCGACAAAGAGAATGATGTCTGGCTGGCTCCAGGCAGCACAGTGAGGGGCAGTGAGGGGCGGCACGGGGCAAGGGCATCGGCCGAGCCAGCGACGACACGTCAGGTACGTCGGGAATGGGACGAGGGGATGGCACCACGGGCAACATGAGGGGTGAAGGGAGCGGGACGAGAAATCAGTTGAGAAGAGGCGCGATTTGGAGAGGGGAGTGCAGAAACGTGAAGCTTTAGCGAGTGAAGAAGAGCTGTGGATGGGGGTGAGAGAAGGTGGAAGGTGGCGCAGGCGCGATGGAAAAATGATGAGCAAAATTGGTTATAAGAGAGTGTACACACACAGCCTGGCCATAAAAAAAGGAGACTGCTTTGGAATCAAGCTGTTGCTGATGATGCCATAATGTTATGATTGATGATGGCATGATTGATGATGTCAAGACTCAAACGGTATGATACATGCGGTAGGCAGGATTCTAGATGAGCATCACCTTGAGGAGCTTCAAAGCAGCCAGGTCCTTCCAAGGATGCCACATGCCGTGCTGTGATTAGCGAGGTGGGACAGACGAGACAGCAAAGGCACACGCTGAGGGTAATATCGACAAAGTGCGTCATTTCGCTAAAAGCTATACATACATACACAATGAGGGCGCGTCTCATGCTGACACGTGGCAGAGACCCCGTTCAGTGCCTACCACTAGCGCCCGTCAGCTCAACACATCCCCTATATCACCAGACCACCGCACTATATCGTATAATCACCTATGCACCACATTCTTAGGATCACCAGCCCAACACATCTCCTATAATCACCGACTCACAACATCGCCTATAATCACAATTCGAAGCTTCCCACCGCTCCTCGGACCGCCCCCTGAAGCCTCAACGGCTCCAGTCACCGTTATTCCCGCTTCCCCTGTCCGCATTTGCCTCCCATCCACGTCAGCATCCACCCGAGTTCGTGATAGGCAATCGCCTCCCATCGCACTTAACGACGCGAATGCCGCTGCGACAGTCGCGGGTTCATGTAACACTGACCTGCCTTCGCCAACTGTCGCTAAGGGTCGCGGATTAGTCCCTCGCAAGGAAGCTAATGTGGGAGAAGAGAGGGAGCGGAAATTGCGCTGCCAGCAGGGAAAGCGGCGACCGTTGAAACAATTAGCGATACCTTGAAACGGACACAATTGGTGACACGAGTGGTAATTCAATTTAGCATTGAATAATTTGCATCTACCACTAGGCACGGTGCGAGCAATGGCTGATCTTATTCGCGGACAACCAAGACCGTGTGCGAAATTATGTAATCGCAGAGTTCGCATGGGTTCATGAACGGCAGGTAACATAGCCTGAATGCGCCGGTGGCGACTGAGAGTGCAGCGAGGTTGCCGTGTGCGGCGTGAGCGGGTATTCGCGGGAGGTTTAGGAGATCAAGGGACAGGTGCACGCGTGTCGATTACGCTACTGGCGCCACGTGGCAGTACATAACGACCCTTGAGAGTCATCATTATTCCAGTTAAATTTGATAAAATTCATGGGGTGAAGGGTGATACAGTTACGCATTGCATGACTTGCGGACCCTATGTAAGACCTTTCTTGATTCATGTTTTTCATGCCAATAACGCACCACTGCAGTTCCCCTGCTTAAAGCCGTTGGTCCATATTGCACAAGTTTTAAAATCATGACGAGAGGGGGTTTTACTGGTTCGGGTTTTGGCGAGGGTTCCCGATTTCGTGAAATTCATTTTTTTCGCCAAACCTAGCCAGCCCCGCGTTTTTACCCTGGTGGGTGTGTCAGACTTCGGAAGTCCCAAATTGCAGCTGCGGTACTTTTCAAAGCTTGCACAGCCCCACTTCGTCAAGTTTTTAAAACTTGACCCGAGCGGTCCGCCGCGGGCTTTAACATATGCTGGGAAGGGATGGTGAACATATGCTACCAAATTGATGCTACACTGGATGGAACCCTACCCTTTTGCTGCTCAATTGGTTATCAGTAAGACGCAATCAGTTGGTTACTAAGAAAACACATCAACTAGTGGAGAGCGAGTAGTAGCCGTTGAAATTGATCTGTGTGAGCAGCTTGTGCACTTGTGGTGTTGATACAGAGTGGTGCAGCATCCCCACCGACAGATACAAAGCGCATGCCTTCGCATCCAGCTCCTATCCAGACAAAGAAGGGAGGGAGGAGGGAGAGAGGGAGAAAAGGAGAGGGAGAGCAGCTTGTGCACTTGTGGTGTTGACACGGAGTGAACCACCGACAGGTACTGCGCACACACCTTTGCATCCAGCTCCTGGCTTGAAAGGAGAGAGGGTGAGGAGGAGAAGGGTTGGGTATAAGCGAGGGAGTGCAAATCAGATGGCTCTCAGATCACATGGCAGCTGCAGCAGTAAAGATCACGTCAGGAGGAGCAGCGGCACAAGCACCAGAAGCAAGAGCAGCAGCAGCAGCAGCAGCAGCAGGGGCGGGGGAGAGGGACATGAGACAGAGTGTTGCAGGCAGCAGCATGCGCATGGGAGGAAGGGAGGAGGGTGCACCTTGCGCATGTCTTGCAGCAGTGGGAGAGGCAGCGGTGCAGAGTGGTGGAGGCGGCGACAGAGCTTCATGGCGAGCACGAGCAGCGAGTGCAGCGGGCGCGTGAAGTGCGTGTTGCCCAGCATCACGTGGCGCTCCAACGATGCGAGAAAGCTGCAGGTGCAACGTGAAACATAAGGGGTTGAAGATGGGAGATGGCACGGGGTGGGGGGGGGGTGCGTGTTCCCCAGCATCACATGGCGTTCCTGTAATGAGAGGAAAGGGAGGGATGAGGGAAACACATGCAGGTGGGAGATGGCACAAGGAGGGGTGGGTGAAGTGCGTGTTCCCCAGCATCACATGGTGCTGCAATGAAGAGAGGAAACTGAGGGCACGATGGAGAACACAAGGGGTGGAGGCAAGAGATAGCACAAGGGAGAGTGAGTGCTAAAGTGAAATTAGAAATCGTGGTTAGACAACTCGTTGGGGTCTCCTCTCAGGATCTCAACAGCAACTCCAATAGTCACGCGACTCCAATAGTCACGCGACTCCAATAGTCACGCGACTCCAATAGTCACGCGACTCCAATAGTCAGGCGACTCCAATAGTCAGGCGACTCCAATAGTCAGGTGACTAAGGGCGTGTTAAATCCTCGCACAATTCCGAAAATGGGGTGTGGCCGAATTTTCGATGACCACATGGTCGTCATATTTTTCGCGAACAACGACGAGGTGGCCGATTCAGAGTCGACTCTTTTTCAGCCACCATTTTCAGTTTTGGCGATTTAACAACTTTGGTGGCCGATTTGCAGGCCGGTTCGGAAAAGTTGTTAAATTTGCAGTTACTACAGTAGTTGAGTATGTGCGACGGGATCGCACTTCTGACGACGATCTTCTCATTTGACGCGATCACAAAAGTCGTCGTTGGGCGAAACCGTGCGACGTCATAGGCGATTGTCGCACACTGTGTCGACTGCTTGGCTGTTTTGGAGTCGACTCGGTGTCGTTTCCGTGTCGACTTTTTAAACGGCCATCAGATTCGTTATTTTTTAACGAAAAATGTGACTGTCGCCACCTGACTGACGAATGTCGCAAACTGGTTACCTTCGCAGAAACGGCCCGACGGATTGTGGCCGTATTTTGTGAGTTTCCGATTTAACACGCCCTAAATGCCTCCCAAGTGAGTGCGTGATGTGGCTATCGAATAACGACAGGTCTCCCACTCAAGGAACGATTGGATCATCGTGGATGAAAACATGTCAGGGTTGGTGTGAAAATGGCATTGAAACGTTGAAACAAGTGGGGCAGGGGATGCATGGCATGTGAGGTGAGGGGGTTGCGTGCACCGGTCATGGGCGGCAAGCAGGAAGGAGAAGTCGGGGTTGGCTCGGATAGAGGCGAGGAATGCCGCCCACTCCACCTCCACCACGTCCGCCTGCAGGGGTGACGATCAGCAATTTGCAAGGTCGACGATGCAAGACAGCACACATACATTATTTTAGCACATATACCCACACGGCAGCACACATACATTCTTTTGGCACATTTACCCACACGGCAGCACACATACATGCAGGCAGCACACATACATGCAGGCAGCACACACTCATACAGGTAGGTTTGCAGGCTGGTGATCATCTGCAGCATCTCCTTGCGCATCATGCATGGAGGCAGCACACAGCAGCAGCATACATATACATGCATGCAGATAAAACAAATACATGCATGCAGGCAGCACACACGCACATGGAGGTACGTCTGCAGGCTGGTGACGATCTGCAGCATCTCCTTGAGCATCATGCACAGCATCAGATGCTCCTTGCGCTCCCCCAGCGATGTGCGCACCACACCGCTGCTGCCTCCTCTCCCACTCCCCGCCCCTCCCACGCTACCTGCCGCCACACTTGTGCTTCTAGTGAAGCCAGCAGCACCAGCAGCACCAGCAGCAGAAGCGGTAGCAGGGCCAGCATCAACGCCACCACTCCTGACAGCCTCCCCACTGCCAGCTGGCAGCGACCAAGTCCGCTTCATCTGCCCCTCCTCCTCGCCCCTCCCGCTCCCCACCGCCTCCCCTCTACCTTTCCCCTGAACCCCTCCCACCCCTGCCCCTCTGAAACCCCCTTCTCCACCTCTCACCCCTTCACCCCTCCCAGCCACCATGCCACGCGGCCCTTTCTCAGGCAGCCCTCGCATCCTGGCCCCCTCGGCTCTGACCTTGCACAGCAGCAGCCAGGCGAGCTGCAGCTCGAGGGCCACGCGGCGCAGGCGGAAGAGGAACGCTGCCACGCTGTTGTAGCGCTGGAGAGCGGTGGGGGATAGCACCAGCTGTAGCGGCCATGCTACACGCGTGTTGATTACTAGCCGGTCCCACCAGTTCACACTGCCGCTGCTGCTGCTGCTGCCAGACCCCCCTGACTGTGTGCTCTGACTTTGCCCCCGCCCCTGTTGCTGCGCCTGCCCCTCCACCCTCCCCTGCCCCTGCCCTTGCCCCTGCGCTTGCCCTTGCCCTTGCCCCTGCCCCTGTGCTCCCCACTGTGCGCGTCCCGGCCCCTGCTGCGGTGTGGGCAAGCCAGCCTGCACCACCCCCTGCACGCGTCGTTCACCTGACTCCACGCCCCTGAGCCGTGAAGCAGACGGGTCGAACGGGGTCACCACCAACCCTGTACCGCCACCACCTCCTCTTGCTAATGCTGCCGCTCCTGCCCCTGCTCCTCCTCCTGCTGCTGCCCCTGGCGTTCCAGCTGCTATGTCGGCTGCTGTTCCCAGTCTTGACAGGCCTGCTGCTGCTGCCTCTGGTGCTGGCTCTGCCGCAGCTGGTGTGGCAGGCGGGGCTGATGGCTGAGCGGACGGCTGAGCGGATGGCTGGGCTGATGGTTGCAGAGACAGTTGAGGCCTTGTCAGGTCAGGGGGGATGAACCTGGACGCATGCAAGTTGCACACCGTTTGATGCACACCATGTATCATGATCCGACACCATGCCACACCATGTATCACGATCCGACACCATGCCACACCATATATCATGATCCGACACCATGCCACACCATGCCATGCCCATGATAATGCCATCCTTGGTTGTCAGTGCAATAACTCATCAACTGCACCAGAACAAGTACACTCATGCTAGGTTCTCCGTTCCTCTAGCGTGTCCGTGCATCGCTGAGTTCAAGAAAGAAAAGGTCAAAGAGCAACATGCTCATGTGGGAGAAGAGACAAGACCTCGCTGGAATAAAGTGTAAAAAGCACTTGCTTGCAGAGTGCCTATGAGAATGTTGAAAACCACATGGAGTGGGAGCAGAGAGAGCCATGGCCTCACTTGAAGGAGAATGTGCGGAAGTACTTGAGAGTCGCCTCCTCCCCGATGCATGCTGATGCCTGGTGGGTGGGCGAGCGGTGGGCATGAGGGAAGGCATGAGAGATAGGGAACAAAGGCATGGAGGAGGGGGGAAATGAAAGGGCGGAGATTGAAAGTGGTTTGAGTTGAATATGAGGCATGATGCATGAGTGGGAGAGAATTGTAACTTGTTCAAATCTTGGTGAATGCATCAGCAGCACCTGTGTCATCGAGCCCATCACTCCATTCCATTGCACATGTTCCATTTCACACCATCCCATTCCATTCCATCACAATACAACAGACCAATTTCACACATCCGCTCCAATCCCGCCATACCAACCGAGTCACTACCACTCACATCACAGACACGGTGGGTCGTACGTAACGGAATGTTCTCTCATGTCACACGCCGGAATGGTCCGTTTGCAGCGACTGATTCCTGTGCTAATGCCCGTACTACGTTAAATGAACGTTAACCTTGTGGGTATGAGAAGGAAAGTGTGCAAACACAGACCCACAAGATTAATGCTCACCTCGTGTGGTACGGGCAGTAGCACGGGAATCAGCCGCTGCAAACGGACCATTCCGCATGTGGCATGGGAGGGAACAGTCATTCTGTTACGATTCGCCGTGTCTGTGGTGCGATAAGAAGTGACTCCGCTGGTACGGGCGGCAGTGATACGGACCAACACCACCACCATCCACCGCTTGCTACTGGCTGTCCTGGTCACACAGGACAGAACATGCCAAACAGTGCCAAACTCCCCCACCTTCTCAACGGCCAGTTGCAGCTTGTCGTTGGCAACCCTGGCCCTCACGTCTGGCTGTGCCAGCACCTCCCTCAGCGACTGCCACACGCTCTGTGAGAAAGGGAGGGGTGGGAAAGCGGAGGAGAATGCGGGTGTTGATATCTGAAAGCAGGTTCTGTTACATCTCAAATGCTGTCTTGTCTTCCTTCACCTGGGCCTCTCTCTCCTCACGTCCGCTTGTGCCAGCACTCCGTGCAGTGACTGCCACATGGTCTGTGACACAAGCATGTGGGAGAAAGGAGGGGAGAGTGTGGCGCGAGATTTGATGTCTTGGAATAGGATTCCAGATGCCGCAGAACAAGTCCTCTTTCCCCTGGGCCTCATGTCCGCCTGGGTGCCAGGCCACAACCTCCCGCTGTAACTGCCACGCGCTCTGCGAGACAGGGAGGGGCAGAAGGGGGAAGACCGAGTGGGATACACAATATCTATCTCCATGCAAGCCTTTTTTCTCGTGGGCCTCTCCGCACGTCTCACTGTGCCAGCACCTCCCTCAGTGGCTGACAGCTGAAAGACGTGTGAGCTGATGTGATCTTTCAATGCTCTTGAGATCAATCCAGAAGAGCTTTCCCCCACCCTGCTCACCTGCATGAAGGCGCCCCCTCCGCCCAGCAGGAAGTAATGCACGGCGTGCAGATGACCAAATAGGTCGCTCTCCCTCACCACCAGCTGCCAGGGGAGCAGGGGAACATGGACCAACAGTAAAGGGCGATGGGCAAGCTGAGGGGGGGGGGGGGGGTTGGAGGGTGGTAAGGTGATGGCACGGCGGGTGGCGTGCAGATGGCCACTCTCTGTGACCACCAGTTGCCGGGAGAACAAGGACTGGCGGGGGGAGGCACGGCGGTCAGGGGTGGTAGGGTGAAGACAGCTGGCGGTGCAACTGCGAGCAGCGCGAAGGGAAGGTGGTCAGGTGATGCGATAGCAGCCGGTTGGAAGGTGGCTGAGAATACGATCCCTCACACTACAACTAAGTGCCCTCTCTCACTCCCTCTTACCACTGCCATTCCCCTTTTGTCGTAACCATTTGTTTGTGAAGGATAGGATCCTTCATGCGAAAACGAAGGAAAGGAGAAGAAGGAGAAGGAGGGGGAGGAGAAGGAGGAGGAGGAGGAGGAGGAGGAGGAGGAGGAGGAGGAGGAGGAGGAGGAGGAGGAGGAGGAGGAGGAGGAGGAGGAGGAGGAGGAGGAGGAGGAGGAGGAGGAGGAGAAGAAGAAGAAGAGGAAAAGAACGCGTCAGCAACACGCAGACCTGCTACAGTGCCTTGCGATGGCCATTTTGTTCTCAGGAGCAGAGAATCTATGAATACGCATGTACAAACATCAAGAGAACAAAAGCCTAAACACACCTGCCACAGGCGGTGCGCTGCTCTTTTCCTCGCTGCCTCCACCACCTCATGCACCCGCTGCTCGTCCCATGCATGCTTCGTGCGCCCCTCCTGGCCCCACAGGGTCATTGGGTGATCACACGGAGTGATTCGGATAGAGACGGAAAATTTTGGGGGGAGGGGTGTATTGAGACGTTTCAGAGATGCCGCCCCTGGTGGCCCCACATGGTGCTTGGGATGGAAGAGAGGGCAGGGATGGCTCAGAGAGTCACGTGTGAAAGGGTCAACGAGGGGCGGAACGGCATAAGATGGGGCCATATCACAGTGCATGCATTGCATCCCCATAGTACCATGGGTGGCTCTTGCTGTGCTGGACGATGGATGGTGGCTGGACTTAGAAACCAGGAGACCAGGATGGAGTGGAGAGGGTAGATTAGGAGAAGCGAGGAGGCCTAACTTCCAAAAAAAAAAGACCTCGAACATCACAAAAGCTACCAACAATGCAGTGTTGCTCTGACTGAATGGAGCACAGTGCAGAGAAGCGAGCATCGCACTCACCCGGAGCGCCAGCACATAATCGAGGAGTCTCTCCGCATCTGCCCCATGTGTGCCATTCCATACCTTGCATGCTGCATCTGCCCCATGTGTGCCATTCCATACCTTGCATGCTGCATCTGCCCCATGTGTGCCATTCCATACCTTGCATGCTGCATCTGCCCCATGTGTGCCATTCCATACATTGCATGCTGCATCTGCCCCATGTGTGCCATTCCATACCTTGCATGCTGCATCTGCCCCATGTGTGCCATTCCATACCTTGCATGCTGCATCTGCCCCATGTGTGCCATTCCATACCTTGCATGCTGCTCACCCCTTTCCACAATCATGCACAACACTCACCCACAGCACAGCGCCGGCACACTGTAAAGCATTCCCTTGGCGATTGCCTCGTGGGTCCTGTACCTGCTGCCCAAGCCTTTTCCACCACGCACAGCACTCACTCACCCACATGGCCCGTTATCGTGTAGCCAAGCCTGCATCCCGCCCCTTCCTTGCTCCGCACAGCACTCACCCACAGAGTGAACACACCGTGGAATATTCTCTCCACGTCTGCTTCCTGCATGCCATGCCTGCTGCCCCACAAGCTCCCCCCTTCCTCTGCAGACCACTCACGCGCAATGCCAGCACGCTGTCGAGGATTCTCTTCACGTCTGCCTCGTGCATGCGCTGCCCGAACCTCCCTTGCTCCGCACAGCACTTACCCGCAGGAGAAGCACACTGTCGCATTCCCCCTCATTGCCTCACATCTCTTGAAACACTCACGCGCAATGCCAGCACGCTGTCGAGGATTCTCTTCACGTCTGCCTCGTGCTTCCGCTGCCTGCTGCTGCCCGACCCTCGCCCGCTCAGCTCGCTCTCACTGCGCCGCCCTGCCTCCTGCAGCAGCAGCATGGCTCGCCCCACAAACAACGCCGCCTCCGCTGTCTCAGGTGCAAAGTCAGGCGGCAGCTGGGCCTGGTTGGGGTGGGCGAGGGCGGAGTGGGAAAATGGTTTGTGGGTTGGCAGTGACCATATCTGTTCTCCTCTCGCCCCACAAACCTCCGCTATCTCACATGCAAAGTCAGGGGGCAACTGGGCCTGGTGGTTCAAGTGGGAGGGAGCGGAGTGGGGAAAGTGGGTTGGAGCTAGCTAGGCAGTACTTGTGAATGTTCTCCCTCGCCCCCACCCCCCATTACAAACAGCGCTGCCTCCGCTGTTTCAGATGCAAATTCAGGAGGCAGCTGGGCCTGGTGTTTGGGGCGGGAGAGGAGTGGGGGAAGTGGGGTGGGTAACAAGGAGCATGTGAGGCTGGGCGGTGGGTGGTGGCGCGCAAACACATTACCCACCCGCACGTCCCCATCTGCCCCACAAACGCCCATCCGCCCCCCCCACACGTCCATCCGCCCCACCTCATTGATGCTGTACTCGTCCCAGAAAACGATGCCGTTCGTCCTCTCTGCTCTGCTCTCCACCACTGCACCGGGTCCGGGTGCTGGTGGGGCAGCAGGTGCCGCCCTGTGGAGCCATGCCGCTCACACGCACAGACCCGTGCATGCATGCACACATGCATGCACAGCCAGATATGCACACGCACACATACACCTACACCTACACATACACATACACATACACATGCACGCATACACAGACACACATACACATGCACATACACATGCACATACACATGTACATACACATGCACATACACATACACATACACATACACATACACATACACATACACATACACATGCACATCCACATGCACATACACATACACATGCACATGCACATGCACATGCACATACACATGCACATAACACATCCACATCCACATGCACATGCACATGCACATGCACATGCACATAACACATCCACATCCACATGCACATGCACATGCACATGCACATGCACATGCACATGCACATACACATGCACATGCACATCCACATGCACATGCACATGCACATGCACATGCACATGCACATACACATACACATACACATACATTCCTACACATGCACATGCACACATACACATGCACATACACTTGCACATACAAATACACATACACATACACACATGCACATGCACATGCCCACCAACCACACATACATCAGATAAACGAACAAGAGATCAAGTAACCGGAATGAGAGGAAAGGGGGGTCGCAGCAAGGGAGGACACAATTCCTTGTCATTGAGCCAACATAAGAAGCCAGCAGAGAGAGGAGGGGGAGAGGAGGAGAGAGGAGGGGAGAGGAGAGAAGAGGAGACGAGAGGAGAGGAGAGGAGAGGAGGAGGGGGAGGGGAGGGCAGTGAGCACCTGGAGATGAAGAACTCAGCGCCACCATCGGGGGGCAAGGCGCCAAACGCCATCCAGTGCGCCAGCTGCCCCACCCACACGCGCTGACAGTGGCGGATGCACCTGTGGGGAGCGATGCATGCAAGGGGAGGGATAGAAGGGGGCAGGGGGGCAGCAACGTGAATAGGACTGAATGACGCTGAGAGGGGAAACGAGATCTCTCATGTGGCACATATAAATGCGATGTGAAAGTGACTAGGTGAGCTTACAAAGAGAACGTGACTGTATAGAGAAAGAATGGCAGCTTGACCGATTAGAATGAAATTGGCTAGCTGCTTACACGTCGAGAGCAATTGATAGTATGATAGGCCCGAAGCTGCTCTCCTGCTCCAGATAGCGCAGCAGATGGGCACCTGTGATGTTGCCTTGCTCTATAGCGGATGTGACTCTAACGAGGCCTGTCAGCAGCTGCTCATACTGCAGAATGGATAAGAGGGATGGAGGTAATTTATCAATCAAGACGAGGCTAAAAAACGACGATCCAGTGGAGCGGCAGAGTGGAGAGGCAAAGTGGAGAGCAGAGTGGAAAAGTGGCACTTTGAAACATTCTTGGAAACAGAAACAGTGAGGGCAATTCAGCTTACCACGGATAGCTTGGCCCAGATGGTTCGCACGGGGAGTGGGGAGGAGAAGAGGCGGTCCACCTCGTGTGTGTACGGCAGCAGCGCCTCCTCCTCCACACATGTCGCTAACGCACACTGCAGACCACTCGCACCCCCCGCCGCCCCTGCCAGCACCCTGTGCGACGCATCCCGCCCACTTTCTGACACTGAGGTAATCCCCCCCGTCGCTCCAGCAATGCTGTATGGTGCTGTGGCTGAGGTTGAGTGTGAGGCTGGGAGTGCGGCTGCGAGCGACGCTCTTGCTGCTGCGCTGATGGCGGCGCTGCGGGCGTCCAGGAGGCGGCGGGAGAAGCGGTGGATCTCCGTGACGCACGCTGCCAGCTGGAGGAGCTTCTCCACCCATGGCCTGAGACGTGGACGCATGGGATTAGGGCGTGTGGATGACGTGGACACGCGGATGAGGATGTATGGATCACGTGTACCAATCTACTTGAGAAATCTCAAACGCGAAATCCAGTACTTTTGAGCAGAAGATAATAAATTATAGATTATACCAAGAACGCTGCTAATCCAAGAACACTGCGACGGCCAGATGCGTGCGGCGGCGACTCATGACACGAGATTCATTCTCCGAGGCGCTCCGAAAATCGACTCACGACACTGAAATCCAGCTAAAAGAGATTCCATGCCGCGGAGTGAGATTGACGACGGACGTAAATCAAGGCGACGCTGGCAAGCATACACCAAATTCGTCGCAGGGACACCACGAGGAACACCGTGATGGAGACTCTGAGGGAGGGAGACCGTGAGGGACTCACAGCTCGTCCGTTGGATCAAACGCGTCCTCCGAAATGAACGGCGGATGCGGTGGCTGTGTCCACGAGGCAGCCTCGCGCTGCGAAGCGTTCGAATTCGCTGCGAGCTCTCGTGGCTGGCCGCGAAGAGCCACCAGCAGCTCCTGCCGCGACGAGATCATCTAGGCGGGGAAACAAGAGGTTCAGATGGGTGCGGCGGAGACTCGTTCTACGAAAATCTTGAGTGTTTGAAAGCTGGCACTCAGTGGAGACTCAGAAGCTAAGACGGGAAAGTAACTGCTGGAATCGCACAGAAGGAGGATCCGCTTTGCTGCGCCATAAGAAATCGCTTTCGCGGGCCGGTCACAAAAGGAAAGGAAACGAAACTGAAACCGACCACTGTTCGGAAAACAATACCAAATCGGAACATTTCATGAGCAGTGGCCACTTGGCGCTCGGAAAGGTCAGCCTTCCCGCGTTAACGAAGCGAGCAGGTTCGATTCTTGTGCGCGAATATGCATGTTGCGGAGGGCAGGCTCGATTCTTGAGAGTAACCACCCGGTCCGGTTCGCTTCGTAAACCGTCAAAACGGCTACGCGCCCTACACGCAAACCCAAACCACAAGTTACAAGCCCAGAATTCCTTCTCGAATCCTCTCCAACCTCAGCCACCACCGATTTCCACCATTGAGTTTCAACTGTCGAGCTCACAATTCGTGATTTGGATAATCTTCAGACACTGCTATTCAACTGGTAGCAGACCGAGTCTTCGTGCAGTCATGGCGGCCGGCGGCGGCGACGACGAGAACATCGCTGATGGATCCTCGTTCGAGATTAAGATAAAGACGCTCGATAACCGCACCTTCGATGTTGCCGTGCATCCCGAGGTGGGATCGTTCACCGCGCTTTCCTTTTCCCGACGTTAGGGGATTGCCATTTAGCTAATGCGTTTCACGTTCCCAGGTCCACCATCCATCCGCGCCTTCAGTTTCGGCAGTTCGCCGTCGTCTCTCTGTCTTCCCCCACCCAGATTCTCTTGTCGACCCTGAACGACGCCGGTGCACCGCCGCTGAGCAGTGCTTGCGGCAAGTGCTCCTCGGGAAAGATGCTCAAGTCAAATTGGTTATGAGAGCTTTCAAAGTCAAATGGGTGCTCAACATCCAACCGTTTTTCTTACCTCCTCCTGCCTCCCCCCTTCCCTCGTCTCGCCGAGCAGATGCTCGTCTCCACCCTCAAGGACCGCATTGCACCGCTGCTGGGCGTGCCAGCGGGCAGGCAGCGGCTGGTGTTCCGCGGGAAGGTGCTCAAAGACGACAGCACCGTCGCCTCCTACGGTATGCCGCGCGCCATCTCTCCCCCCTTCCCCCCGCCGCTACGGTGTGCGCCATCTCTCCCCCCTTCCCCCCGCCGCTACCGTACGCGCCATCTCTCCCCCCTTCCCCCGCCGCTATGGCATGCGCCATTTCTTCCCCCTTCCCCCCGCGTCCTATGGTACACGCCATCACTTCCGCCTTCCCCCCGCATCCCACGGTACACGCCATCACTCCCCCCTTCCCCCCGCCACTACAATAGGTGCCTCATTCCCCCGTTCTGCCTGCTGCTACTGTAGGCGCCATCACTCCCCCTTCCCCCCCCCCCCCGCCGCTACTGTAGGCGCCATCACTCCCCCTTCCCCCCGCCCCCCTTCCCCCCCCCGCCGCTACTGTAGGCTCCATCACTCCCCCTTCCCCCCGCCCCCCTTCCCCCCCCGCCGCTACTGTAGGCGCCATCACTCCCTCCTTGCCCCTGACCCCCTTCCCCCCGCTGCTATGGTAGGCTACGGTAGGCCGCGTGCTACGGTAGGCCGCATGCTACGGTAGGCCGCGTGCTACGGTAGGCCGCGAGCTACGGTAGGCCGCTTGCTACGGTAGGCGGCTGCGCTACTGCTGTGATCCATGCGTGGTTGGTTGGTTGGCAACTTGGTGGGGCACATACTCTCTGCCCTCATGCTCCACTCCACTCCACTGCACTCTAATCGGCTTAAAGTCGAATTGGGCATTGCGTTTGAGCTTGTGTGAAACAGGCAAGTCATGTGACTGCGTCCCCTTGTGTCTTTGCTGTGCATGTCTCATGCGCCCCCGACCAACCCTGAGCCCGAGAGGCCACGTATGCATGCATCTGCTGTTGCTTCTGGGTCGAGTGAGGGTGGTGCATGTGAGTGGCTTAAACTAGAATCACTGCTCTGCTCTGCTGTGATCTGATCTGCACATCTGATTGGCTACCTGCCGATCACCTGTGCTTATGTGTGCTTGCAGGACTAGAGGCAGGGCACGTGGTGCATCTGGTGTCGCGGCTGGGGCGAGCCGAGGGGGAGGGGGGGGATGGTGGAGGGGAGGGAGGGATGGGGTGGTCAAGGGCAGGCGAGGGGGCGGGGGGAGGTGGGCCTGGGGGCGGTTCCGGCCAGCCACTTACTCACATGCAGATAGGTCAGCGCGTGTATGCTGTATCCTGTAACTTGCACCACGTAAAACTCTGGCATGCCTTTTCCCTCACACGCGCACCTCCGCTGCATGCACATGCTGATTAATCCGCACATTCACCTTCTTAATCTGCACGTATTCGACCTGTTATCATTGTTCAACCGCACTGCACCGGGTGCCATGCCGTGCCGCTCTCACCATCCCATGTTGTCAACTTGTCATGTGCGTGCATCTGTACGAGCAGACGGCATGCCCGGTGCAGCGACTCTCCACATGGGGTCGGTCAACATTCACACAGACGGCTCCCCAATGATGCCGGACCTTAACCAGGTGAGCCACTGCACTGCACCACTGCTCCACCACCACTGCTCCACCACCACTGGTAGCGAGCGCTGGTTTTATGTGGCTGGCGTCTGCTATCTATCCCCCTTGTGGTGTGGGTGAGCCGCCTCCACACGGGCTGGGTCAATATTCACACGGGCTGGGTCAATATTCACACGGACAGCTCTGAGGCTCTCCCATGCCATGCCATGAGACTGGGCCTGAATTAGGTGAATGGACCCCATGCCTGCCTGGCGACACCCGGGCCTCGTTACTTTGCAACACCTGGGCCTCGTTACTTTGCAACACCTGGGCCTCGTTACTTTGCAACACCTGGGCCTCGTTACTTTGCAACACCTGGGCCTCGTTACTTTGCAACACCTGAGCTGTGCATTGCACTGCACACTTGTCGCTGCTTTGCTCTGTTCACATCTGTACGTGCACGTTCATACACAATCGGACACTTCCGCTGGTGGTTTTACATGAGTGAATATGCATAATGGCACATGAATGCGCACATGGGCGCTGTGCTGCACTGTGCACCCGCGCATACACATTCGTGTCTGCGTGGCATGACTTCCCTCGAACGATTCTTTTGCGCTTCAGGAACTGTTCACCTCCTCCCCCTCGCACTCTCACGGCACATACTGTGTTGGAGTGCTCAGCCCCAACCCAATGGGCTCGCAACCCCATCTGCCTGAATGAACCTCTTCGCCAGCAACACCACTTCTAAGACGCTTCAAAGCCTTCCCCTTATCTCCTTTCCCCCCATCTTCTCTCTGCAGATTGTGACTGGCGTTCTGAGCTCCATTGGACTTAACCCCTTTGCAGGCAACACCAGCGCCACCATCAACGTGACACAGCCGGGCGGCACAGCGAGTGGGGCGACAGGGGGAGGGTCGGCAGGAGCAGCAGCAGGGAGAGGAGGAGCGGGAGGAGGGGCGGCAGGAGGAGGGACAGGAGGAACAGGGAGAGGGGTAGGAGGGGGAGCGGAAGGAGGAGCGGGAGGGAGAGGAGGGGATGGCTCCGGGAGGTCACAGGGAGGGCCGGAGTTTCAGATTCATGTTGACACTGTCATTCAAGGCCCCATGCCCATGCCCATGGGTGTTCCTATGGGCGTTCCCATGGGTGTGCCCATGCACATGCCGATGGGTATGCCCATGCAGATGGGTATGCAGATGCCTATGCACATGCCTATGGGTATGCCTATGCCCATGCCTATGGGCATGCCTATGCCTATGCCAATGGGTGCCGGTAATCCCGAGGCTGCTGGCGGTGCTGCTGGTGCTGGTGCAGGTGCTGGTGGTGGTGGCGCTGGTGGCACTGGAGGTGGGGGGGGAATGGCAGGAGGGGGCAGTCAGCGCACGAGCTGGCATGTTGTGGTGCCGCCTCATGCACAGGTGGGTGCTGCTGCCACCGCTGCCGCTGCTGCCGCTGCCGCCGCCGCTGCCGCCGCCGCCGCCGCCGCTGCCGCTGCCCCCGCCGCCGCTGTCGCCGCCGCCGCCACTGCCACCGCTGCTGCTGCAGCTGCCACCGCTGCCACCGCCGCCACCGCTGCCACCGCTGCTGCTGCTGCTGCCGCCGTCGCCGCCGCTGCCGCCGCCGCTGCTGCGCTGTGCATGTGTGTGTGTGCAAGTGTGTCAGTTTGTGGATGTGTGTGTTCATGTGTGCAGGTGTGTCCTCTCCAGTTCTTACCCTACCCCTTCCTTCCTCACCCTCCCCTCCCCTGGTTTGATTGCTGCTCTCTTCAATGCCCACTCCCCAGGCGGCGGCCCAAGACACGCTGCAAGGCAAGCATACATGCATGCCTCACTCACACGCCTGCACAACAACTTCCTTCCCCTTCTCCCCCCCTCTCCCTCTGCTATCACTGCTCCCTTGAATGAACCCTATGGCAGGCAGCAGGCCTGGACGCGCTGGCGACCATCGACGCGTACCTCACTCGCCTTCACAACTCTCTGCTGCCTGCCAGCTCCTCTGGTGCCCTCCTGCCCCTCCACCCCCCCACCCAGCCGTCTGCCTGCCAACCCACCCACCCACCCACCCACCCGACCACACACTCACGCACGCACACACACACACACACACACACACACACACATACATACACATACACACCTGCACACGCACACGCACACACACACACACACACACACACACACACACACACACATGCACATGCACACGCACGCGCACCCATTCACCCACCCACCCACCGACCAACACACACGCACCGACTCATCCACCCCACTGCAAACGTGTGAGCTGGCTCAGAAGCCGAGTCGCCATGGCATGCCACCACCCCCCCGATCCACCAGGTGCCCCGCAGGCAGAGAGAGAGCAGGCTCGCTGCCAGGCCCTTGCCCCGCTGCCGCGACTAGCTGCCAACATTCGCCGCCTCGAAAGCATTCTCAGAGGCTCCGCTTCATCCCAGCTTCTGGTATGGCTCTTCAAGCGCCTTCTAGTACTGACCCTCTCCTACAAAGATCGCAGTGTCGGTCAGAGGCGCCTCACAGTCTTGATCTCTCAGGCTTTGTATCTCACGGTCTCACACACAGTATTGTCACTTCTCCCAGCCGTATTGAATTCATTCTGGAGATTTTTTTTTTTTTTAAGGTGTCTCAATAAATGCCCATGCTGGAACCGAGGTGACTTGGTTTTTGGACTTGAGAATTGTGTCGAAAGAGTTGTCAGAGGGCCCGCCTTTTCAGCGTCTCAGAGTTTATCGGTAACTTCTTCCCCCAAGCCACTGTTCCTCATTGTTCTCTACCGAGCCGCCACCAGAACCTCACATCGCGGCTTGAGGGAGCAGCATCAGTGAGGGACGCTGCATACTGGGCTTTCACGTCCACTCCACCATACTCCATTTGCTGCTCTCTTCCTCGGCACCATTCCACACCACTCCGCACCCCTACACCCTCCCCAGAACCTGGCGTCATGGCTGGAAGGGGCAGCATCAGTGCGGGATGCGGCAGAGTGGGCGGCGGCAAGGGAGGTGGTGGAGGGTGTGGGGCACACGCTGCAGCAGATGGGCCCACTGCTGCTCGAGCTGGGCCGGCTGTGCCACTCCGTGCACCTGGGCGATACTGTGGTGAGCGTGGGTGGGCAGTGGTGATTGAGGGGATGGGATGGGCACACACGCTTGCCTGCAGACGGGGCTGGTGTTGCTGCTGCTGCTGCTGCTGCTGCTGCTGCTGGAGATGGGGCAACTGTGCCACTCCGTGCAGCTGGGAGATACCGTGGTGAGTGGAGGGAAGGCGGAGTGGGAGCTGGGGTGGAGATGTTGTGGGATGGGCCGGTAGGAAGGGGGAGGTGGTGGAAGGGATGAAACACATACACACACTCCCTCACTCCCCACCTACATCTCTCCCTTCCCCTTACCACCCTCCGTTCCTTCTCGTTCCCATCTTCATCCCTCGAACCTTCCACCACCCTCTCTGTGTCCCTTCCACCACCCTCTCTGTGTCCCTTCCACCACCCTCTCTGTGTCCCTTCCACCGCCCTCTCTGTGTCCCTTCCACCACCCTCTCTGTGTCCCTTCCACCACCCTCTCTGTGTCCCTTCCACCGCCCTCTCTGTGTCCCTTCCACCACCCTCTCTGTGTCCCTTCCACCGCCCTCTCTGTGTCCCTTCCACCGCCCTCTCTGTGTCCCTTCCACCGCCCTCTCTGTGTCCCTTCCACCACCCTCTCTGTGTCCCTTCCACCGCCCTCTCTGTGTCCCTTCCACCGCCCTCTCTGTGTCCCTTCCACCGCCCTCTCTGTGTCCCTTCCACCGCCCTCTCTGTGTCCCTTCCACCGCCCTCTCTGTGTCCCTTCCACCGCCCTCTCTGTGTCCCTTCCACCGCCCTCTCTGTGTCCCTTCCACCGCCCTCTCTGTGTCCCTTCCACCGCCCTCTCTGTGTCCCTTCCACCGCCCTCTCTGTGTCCCTTCCACCGCCCTCTCTGTGTCCCTTCCACCGCCCTCTCTGTGTCCCTTCCACCGCCCTCTCTGTGTCCCTTCCACCGCCCTCTCTGTGTCCCTTCCACCGCCCTCTCTGTGTCCCTTCCACCGCCCTCTCTGTGTCCCTTCCACCGCCCTCTCTGTGTCCCTTCCACCGCCCTCTCTGTGTCCCTTCCACCGCCCTCTCTGTGTCCCTTCCACCGCCCTCTCTGTGTCCCTTCCACCGCCCTCTCTGTGTCCCTTCCACCGCCCTCTCTGTGTCCCTTCCACCGCCCTCTCTGTGTCCCTTCCACCGCCCTCTCTGTGTCCCTTCCACCGCCCTCTCTGTGTCCCTTCCACCGCCCTCTCTGTGTCCCTTCCACCGCCCTCTCTGTGTCCCTTCCACCGCCCTCTCTGTGTCCCTTCCACCGCCCTCTCTGTGTCCCTTCCACCGCCCTCTCTGTGTCCCTTCCACCGCCCTCTCTGTGTCCCTTCCACCGCCCTCTCTGTGTCCCTTCCACCGCCCTCTCTGTGTCCCTTCCACCGCCCTCTCTGTGTCCCTTCCACCGCCCTCTCTGTGTCCCTTCCACCGCCCTCTCTGTGTCCCTTCCACCGCCCTCTCTGTGTCCCTTCCACCGCCCTCTCTGTGTCCCTTCCACCGCCCTCTCTGTGTCCCTTCCACCGCCCTCTCTGTGTCCCTTCCACCGCCCTCTCTGTGTCCCTTCCACCGCCCTCTCTGTGTCCCTTCCACCGCCCTCTCTGTGTCCCTTCCACCGCCCTCTCTGTGTCCCTTCCACCGCCCTCTCTGTGTCCCTTCCACCGCCCTCTCTGTGTCCCTTCCACCGCCCTCTCTGTGTCCCTTCCACCGCCCTCTCTGTGTCCCTTCCACCGCCCTCTCTGTGTCCCTTCCACCGCCCTCTCTGTGTCCCTTCCACCGCCCTCTCTGTGTCCCTTCCACCGCCCTCTCTGTGTCCCTTCCACCGCCCTCTCTGTGTCCCTTCCACCGCCCTCTCTGTGTCCCTTCCACCGCCCTCTCTGTGTCCCTTCCACCGCCCTCTCTGTGTCCCTTCCACCGCCCTCTCTGTGTCCCTTCCCGCCACGAGCAGGGAGAGGCGAGGCTGCAGGCGTCTCACCCGGTGTTCATCAACCAGTTCGGCCCCAACCCCGTCATCACTCAGGTGACGCTTAGGGGTTAACCCAGGTGGGGCTCAGAGGTTAACCCAGGTGGGGCTCAGAGGGTAACCCAGGTGGGGCTCAGAGGGTAACGCAGTAATCACGGGCGAGGATAGAGGCTGAACTCAGCTCACTGACGTTTCTGCACTGTGAATTCATTGTTGCACGGCATGGATCCATGGGGGATGGACGCTTGTGCTTTCCCATTCGGGACAGCGTCTCATGTGGTTACCACATGTGTTGTTACCATGTGTTTCCTCAGAGAGTTGCTGATGTGTCAGAGCAGCAAAGGCGGCAGCAGCAGCAGCAGCAGCAGCAAGTGGAGGACTACCATATCAACCTGCAACCAGGTACTCACACACACACACACGCACTGTGCAGTAGACACACGCACTGTGCAGTAGACACACGCACTGTGCAGTAGACACACGCACTGTGCAGTAGACACACGCATTCACATTTCAACCAGGCACCCGCATGCCTGCACACCGCCCATTCGTTCACTTGCCTGCGCGCCTGCCTGTGCTAGCTCATCAGCCATGTTCTCAAGGCTAGAGATGTCTCAAAACCCCTGCGCCTGTGCATTGTGCATGCAGCGCTGCAGCCATGTGGACTGCTTAATCATAGAGTTCACGTGCAGCACCATTTTTCACCCAATTGCTCTTCATCTTGCGCACTGCAAGCCTCCCATGCTTCCTCTTCTCATGAAGAAATATTCACTTTTTCCGAAAGTTTTCCCTCTGTCGATCCTTCCACCTGCTGACAGGCTTCTTAGGTCCTCGCCCCGGAGCAGCACGTGGCGCACGAGGCTCTACCACCGCCACTACTGCCGCCCGCACTGCCCGCTCTACTGGTGCTGCCAGGAATGGCACTGCCACTGCTGCTGCTGGCACTACCACTGCTGCTGGTAGCACTGCCGCTGGTAGCACTGTTGGTGGCACTTGTGCTACTGTTGCTGGCACCAGTGCTACAGGTTCCAGAGCCGCAGCACCAGCTGCTGCTGCTGCCGCTGGCGGATCGGGTGGTGGCGGAAGAAGGGAGGAGCCGCGTGGGCTGGGACTTGGGCTGGGGATGGGCTTGCGTGGCCCGGGCGGGGCGAGGGGAAGGCAGACGCAGGTGCAAGGGCAGGGACAGGGAGAGGCGCAGAGGCAGCAGCCGTCGCCACCACCACAGCAGCAACAGCAGCAAGCGCCATCGCAGGGTCAGCAGGGGGCAGGGCAGGTCCAGCTACAGGCGGAGCAGGTGCAGCAGCTGGTGCAGCTACAGCAGGCGCTGCAGCAGCAGATGAGCCCCGCCCAGATGCAGCAGGCACAGCACATGCTAGCCCAGCTGCAGCCGCAGCTGCAGGCCATGCAAGGCGCAGCAGGCAGCCGAGGGGGTGCAGGGGCTGCGGGGGCAACAGCAGGGGCAGCAGCAGGGGCAGCAGCAGGGGCAGCAGGGACAGGGAGTAGAACAGCAGGAGGAGGCAGCAGACCGGCACAGCAGCAGCAGGGGCAGCAGAGGCGTGCAGAGACTGCAGCACAGCATCAGGCGGCACAGCCCCAGGTGGTTCAGTTCCCCGCCATGGTGTCCATCATGGCTGGCCCTGGCCCCGTACCCACCCTCGTGGTGCATCCCGGGGGGAGTGCAGCGGGTACTGCTGCTGCTGCTGCTGCTGGGGTGGGTGCTGCTGGGGGCGCTGCTGCTGGTGGGGCTGGTGGCATGGCGCATGGGATGGGGGGCATGTGGGGAATGGGGCATGGCATGGGCATGGGGGGGATGTATCAGTACCCGTATCCTTACACATGGGGGTATTGGCAGCAGCAGGGGGAGGGGGGAGATGGCGAGGAAGGGGAGGACGAAGGTGAGGAGGGCGGGGGAGAGGGAGAGGAGGATGCGGAGAGGCAGAGGGAGATGGAGGAGGGGCGGTCGCAGCTGCTGGCAGCCATGTTCTCCGTGTTTGGGGACACGCTTGAGTCATGTGAGTCGCCCTGCTGGGGGATGCTGTGGACGCGCATTTTGCTAATAGAGTTTAGAATCCCTTAGAGGTAGTCTGCTGGCTTGTTCTCCGTGTTTGGGGACACGCCGAAGGCATGTGAGTGAGTGATGTGACTGGTGGGGCCTGACTTGGTGGGGCCTGACTTGGTGGGGCCTTAGTTGTTGTGCCCTTAGTTGTTGTGGCCTTAGTTGTTGTGGCCTTAGTTGTTGTGGCCATAGTTGTTGTGGCCTTAGTTGTTGTGGCCTTAGTTGTTGTGGCCTTAGTTGTTGTGGCCTTAGTTGTTGTGGCCTTAGTTGTTGTGGCCTTAGTTGTTGTGGCCTTAGTTGTTGTGGCCTTAGTTGTTGTGCCCTTAGTTGTTGTGCCCTTAGTTGTTGTGGCCTTAGTTGTTGTGCCCTTAGTTGTTGTGCCCTTAGATGTTGTGGCCTTAGTTGTTGTGGCCTTAGTTGTTGTGGCCTTAGTTGTTGTGGCCTTAGTTGTTGTGGCCTTAGTTGTTGTGGCCTTAGTTGTTGTGGCCTTAGTTGTTGTGGCCTTAGTTGTTGTGGCCTTAGTTGTTGTGGCCTTAGTTGTTGTGGCCTTAGTTGTTGTGGCCTTAGTTGTTGTGGCCTTAGTTGTTGTGGCCTTAGTTGTTGTGCCCTTAGCTTAGTTGTTGTGGCCTTAGTTGTTGTGGCCTTAGTTGTTGTGGCCTTAGTTGTTGTGGCCTTAGTTGTTGTGGCCTTAGTTGTTGTGCCCTTAGTTGTTGTGGCCTTAGATGTTGTTGGGGCATGCAAGGGGGTGGAGGCTGCGTGTCCCACTGGTATCTCTCGTTGGAGGCTGCGTGTCCCACTGGTATCTCTCGTTGGAGGCTGCGTGTCCCACTGGTATCTCTCGTTGGAGGCTGCGTGTCCCACTGGTATCTCTCGTTGGAGGCTGCGTGTCCCACTGGTATCTCTCGTTGGAGGCTGCGTGTCCCACTGGTATCTCTCGTTGGGAGGCTGCGTGTCCCACTGGTATCTCTCGTTGGAGGCTGCGTGTCCCACTGGTATCTCTCGTTGGGAGGCTGCGTGTCCCACTGGTATCTCTCGTTGGAGGCTGCGTGTCCCACTGGTATCTCTCGTTGGAGGCTGCGTGTCCCACTGGTATCTCTCGTTGGAGGCTGCGTGTCCCACTGGTATCTCTCGTTGGAGGCTGCGTGTCCCACTGGTATCTCTCGTTGGAGGCTGCGTGTCCCACTGGTATCTCTCGGTGGAGGCTGCGTGTCCCACTGGTATCTCTCGTTGGAGGCTGCGTGTCCCACTGGTATCTCTCGTTGGAGGCTGCGTGTCCCACTGGTATCTCTCGTTGGAGGCTGCGTGTCCCACTGGTATCTCTCGGTGGAGGCTGCGTGTCCCACTGGTATCTCTCGCTGGAGGCTGCGTGTCCCACTGGTATCTCTCGTTGGAGGCTGCGTGTCCCACTGGTATCTCTCGGTGGAGGCTGCGTGTCCCACTGGTATCTCTCGTTGGAGGCTGCGTGTCCCACTGGTATCTCTCGTTGGAGGCTGCGTGTCCCACTGGTATCTCTCGTTGGAGGCTGCGTGTCCCACTGGTATCTCTCGTTGGAGGCTGCGTGTCCCACTGGTATCTCTCGTTGGAGGCTGCGTGTCCCACTGGTATCTCTCGTTGGAAGCTGCCCTCACATACTTTCCTTTCCCTTCCATCCCATCCTCTCCCTCACTGTCCTTTGCTCCTTGTTGTTCACGTTCCTGTCTTCGCCCCGTCTCCCGTGACTAGTAGCCCATATCACTACCGATGATCAACCCTTTTTCTGCTCTTCTTCTGTTCTTCCCTTATTCCCTCCTGCCCTTCTGCCCTTCTTCCCTTCTGCCCTTCTTCCCTTCCTGTCCATTGCACCTCCTGCGTGTGCCCTCTTGCCCATGCCAGTGGTGCCGGAAGACGCAGAGCAGGCGGAGGGGGGAGGAGGGCAGGGAGGCGGAGAAGCAACTCAGCAGCCGGCAGGCAGCAGGGGCGGGCAGGGGGGGGATGCAGCCAAGGCGAGCCCTCAGGCACCAGTTGAGAGGGCGGCAGGAGAGGGGGGGGAGGGGGAGAGGGGAGCAGCGGGAGGGGGAGCAGGGGAGGAGGGGGAGGACGTGGGGCAGCGGCTGCTGCAGGCCATGGGGCCTCTGCTGCACCGCCTGTCTGCTGCCATGCACGGCCGCCAGGGGCAGCAGGGGCAGCAGCAGCAGGGAGAGGTGGCAGGAGGAGGAGGTGAAGCAGAGCAGGCGCAAGGGGCGGTTGGGGCAGCGGAGAAGGAAGGCGATGCGATGGAGTGTGACGGGAAGGAGGAGGGTGGTACGGAGGGGGGGGATGAGCGAGGAGAGGTGCCTGCTTGGAGCCCGCCTCCCCCTCCTCCTGCTGCACCTCCCCCTGCCTCCCCCCAACCTTCCTTCCCACCTGGAGCGCCACACACATTTGGCCAGGTGGATTCTCAGGTGAAAGCACATGGATGCCATGACAGGGGCAGCAACTGCGGGAGCGATATCAGAGGTGGAAGCAGCAGGGGTGAAAGCAGCAGTAACAGGACAGAGCAGCACGTTGGGCAGGACGACAGGGGCCCACTCCCTGCCTACAGCCGTCCTCCTCCCCCGCCAAGCGCCCGCCCGTCACCCTCTCCCCCTGCTCCTGGCAAGAATGCAGCGTCTTCGGATACAGTGGTGGGTTGCACGCTCATCACACATTCTCTTCACCTGACTTGTGCACCCATCCAAGTGCAATAAACACTCTGCTGCTTCACAACAAACCCTGTGCCAAGTGCTCTCGTGTTCAGCCTACCTCGTCCTTTCTTTTCTGCCTCGCCTCCTTCGAATGTACCTCGTTTTTCCTGCAAGCATTATGCTCTCTTTTCTTCTCTACTTCTTCCTCTTGGTTCTCCCCTCCCATCAACCACTGCAGCAAGTGGCAGCTTCAAATGCCACTCAGTCTCCCACTCCCCCATCTGGCCCTTCGGCCCCGCTGGGTCTGGGAGGAGGCCTTGGCCTCACTTCTAAGCCAAAGGTAAGGCGGTGCAGAGGGTAAGTTTCCCAAGGCCTCACACCAGAATTAAAGCTAGGCTTTCTTACAAAGGACATACTTTTTCTCGATTCACCCCTGCCTCCCTTCTGCCTTCATATCCATCTCCTCATTCTGCCTCTTCGCCGCTGTTTCTTCCCTCCCCTCCTCCTGCACAGCCGCCTCGTTCGTTTCTTCACTCTCATTCTCCTTCCCCTACACCATCACTACCCCGTGTTTCCCACATGTCTTCTCTCTCCAGCGCTCCACCAAATCATCACAACCAGGCAGCAGTGGCAGCAGCACGAGCAGCACCACCAGCGGCACCACTGGCACCTCAGCCAGCAGCAGCAGCGCCCCCCCATCCGGCTTAGGCCTGGGGCTCCCGAGCCTGGGCTCCAAACCTAAATCTTCCCAGAGCAGCAAGCCTTGTGGGAGTGCAGGGGGTGGAGAAGGGGGGGGCATTGGGGCTGGTGCACTGGGGCTTGGATTGGGGATGGGGCTACCAGGCATGAGCGGCGGGGGCGGGGGAGGGGGAAGGGGAGGAGGAGGGGGGAGGAGGCAAGCGCAGGGGAGAGGGGGTAGTGGGCGGGGGGCGAGTGGCGGAGCACCTGACCTGGGCGGCATGTTTGAGGTGCTGGGGTCCCTGGGGATGGGCGGGGGGGGAATGGGCGCAGGTGGCATGGGGGGAGCGGGGCTAGGTCCGTTTGGGGGGATGGGGGCGTTGGGGGGGATGCCAGGGATGCAAGGGATGGGCGCGCCTGCAGGCCTGGGCGGGCTGGGCTTGGCGCCAGCAGCGCCAGGAGGAGGAGGAGCAGCAGCAGGGGCAGGGGCAGCAGGGCGAGGGGCGTCTGAGGCGAATCCGCTGGGCGCCATGATGCAGCAAGCCCTGGCTGACCCCGCCCTGTCGCAGCTCATGCACGGCTTTGCTGCTGGTGCTGGCGCCATGGGGGGCTCTGGGGGGGCGCTGGGGGGAGGGGTGAGAAGGGCAGGCGCAGGGAGAGGTGGGGGGGGGCGGGGGAGGTGGGGAGCTTGACCTGGGCGCGTTGCTGGGGGGATTGGGGGGGATTGGGGGAATGGGGGGGATGGGGGGTACGGGGGGGATGAGTGGTGGTGGGGGGAGCTTTGGGGGGCAGCAAGGGGGGATGGGTGGTGGTGGGCTTGACTTGGGGGCGCTGTTGGGAGGGTTGGGCGGACCGGGAGGGGGAATGATGGGTGGGGGCATGGGAGGGGGCATGGGTGGGGGCATGGGAGGGGGCATGGGAGGGGGTATGGGGGGCATGGGAGGGGGTATGGGGGGCATGGGTGTGGAGGGAGAGGAGTTGGATTTTGGGCAGATGATGGCTGACGTCATGCCCATGGTGTCACAGATGCTGGGTGGCATGGGCTTGGGCGGCACAGGCAGCGGCTTGGGCGGCGGCATGGGCACGAGTGGTGGGCGGAGGAGCACGGGGGGTGGCAGGCGAGTGGCGGAAGTAGAGGGGCAGGACGAGTGGAAGAACTCTCTCTCTCAGGTACGATGGGAGGGGATGGCATTCCCTCACTCAGTCACTCCCTCACTCCCTCACACTTGGTACATCTTGCGCACAGTACATCTTGCACATCTTGCACGGTACACTCATCTTGCACGGTACACTCATCTTGCACGGTACACTCATCTTGCACGGTACACTCATCTGACCCAACTGTTTCCTCATCCTCCCTACCCGCCCTCGCCCAAATTCCTCCCACCCCCCCCCCCTCTTCTCCTTCCTTGTGTCCTTCTGATCTCTCCTCTCTCTGCTGCCACAGGTGCAGGCAGCAGAGTGGGCGGGGAGCGTGAAAGAGGACTACAGGCACCAGCGGGACAAGCCTCATTGTTTTCTCATCGTGTCTGCACCCTCCTCCCCTCTCCCCCCGCCCTCACTGCTCTCTCTGCCCCTAGGAGGAAGCGGCAGAGTGGGCGGCAATCATGGAAGAGGACGAGAAGCGCCAGAGGGACATGCCACGTCAGCGCCCGTTCAGCGATGCGTACTGGCGCGGGCAGCGTGGCAAGCCACCCGTGAGTCTTAGAGCTGCAATCCCTTTCTCCCCCCCTGCCACTTTGTTAACTTCATCTCTTGTAGATTCATTACTTCCCCCCCCTCCCGCCCTGCATCCCCTCCGTCCCCTCCTTTCCCTCCGTCCCCCCCCCTTTTCCCTCCGTCTCCCCCCTTCTGTTTTTCTTAATCTGCTCACTCTTACGCCATCACTGCCCTCCCCTGCCAACCGACCCTATGCCTCTCCGTCCCTCTGTTTCCCACTTCCCCCACTCCCAGCACCATCGCACTGACACGGCAGCACAGCTGTTGCAAACCGGCGCCCCTCCCTCTGCCGTGCTGGCTGCGGCCGCTAAAGCTGCTTCCACTGCCGCTGCCACTGCTGCTGCTGCTGCTGCTGGGGGGGGAGAGGAGGGGCGGCGAGGGGCTGGGATGCGGGGAGCAATGGAGAGGAAGGAGAGGCAGGAGCGAATGAGACTCGCTGCTGAGGCTGTAGCGGCAGACGAGGCGGTTGTGGAGGTGAGGGAGAGGGAATTGTGGATGTGAGATGGAGGGGATTGTGAAGGTGAGGGAGAGGGGGTTGTGGAGGTGAGATAGAGGGAATTGTGGAAGTGAGGGAGAAGGAATTGTGGAGGTGAGATAGAGGGGATTGTGGAGGTGAGATAGAGGAGATTGTGGAGGTGAGATAGAGGAGATTGTGGAGGTGAGATAGAGGGGATTGTGGAGGTGAGATAGAGGAGATTGTGGAGGTGAGATAGAGGAGATTGTGGAGGTGAGATAGAGGAGATTATGGAGGTGAGATAGAGGGGATTGTGGAGGTGAGATAGAGGAGATTGTGGAGGTGAGATAGAGGAGATTGTGGAGGTGAGATAGAGGGGATTGTGGAGGTGAGATAGAGGAGATTGTGGAGGTGAGATAGAGGAGATTGTGGAGGTGAGATAGAGGAGATTGTGGAGGTGAGATAGAGGAGATTGTGGAGGTGAGATAGAGGAGATTGTGGAGGTGAGGGGGATTTGTGGAGGTGAGGGGGATTTGTGGAGGTGGAAGGGAATTGTAGAGGTGAGAGGAATTTGTGGAGGTGAGAGGGAAGTGTGGAACAAAATATTCCTTGTGGCTCATATCTTAGTGTGGGCGTCTTGGCTTTGCTCTCCTGCCACTGTAGCTTGGTGTGGCTGCCTTGCCATCCGTTTTCTCACTTCAATTTGATCCCTGGCACACTTAGCCCTTTGTCTGCTGTCCGCTGCCCCCCTGAATGCCATCAAGAGCAGGCTTACACTACCCTGCTGGCGCAGGACCTACAGGCTCGCCTCTCCTCCGATCCGGATGCCCAGGGTCGGTTGAGCTTGCAGCAAGTCCTGACGTCGGACCAACAGCCAGACGAGGTGGCCTCTGCTTCAACCCCCCCCAGCTGAAGCTGCCCAGCGGAAAATGCTTACAATTGTGCAGCTGATTAATGTGTTAGGTTCGGTTAGTACGGTACTTCGTGAAGAAAATATTCACATTTGACATCGAAGAGCTTTAAATGAACAAGCGTCACCTTGTGACAAAGGTCCTGTTGTTAGATCCTACCGTAGAAGCATATACCGGTAAGAGATTCGTCTCTAGGCACACATGAATTATATGATGTGTGCTGCAAAAGTAGATAAAATGTAACGAGACCTTGAAAAGTAGATAACATGTACATTCCAATTCGTCGGATGACGGACCCGCCTTTTCCATTCCAGCCCACCAGTCGATGCCCGATTATATACACACGGGTGACGTCATCACATGCCGCCCCGCCCGCCCTGGCACAAAGGGAATTGAGGCAAAACGAAAAACCCTCCGAATCCCTCCGGGCCCTCGAAAATTCCCGGCTGACCAGGCCAAAAAACCCTCCGAAACCCGCGGGTTCAATGCCGAACTGTTGCAATTTCGGGGACATTTGTCGAGCAGTGCTCGACGGACATTGGCCAATCGCCGTCGAGCACCGTGCACCCCCGACAACGCGTGTTACACCCGGTGGCATGTCGCCCACATGGTGGCGCTGACGGTCGACGGTTGCGAAATACCGACTGTCGCAATCGACGGAGACGTCAACTGCGGCCGACCTGTCGCCTCGTCGGTCGAGCGAACTGTCGATGTCGGATGGGCGACGGGTTACGTCTGTCGCAGTCAAACGTTCACGTCAACTGTCGACTCCCACGTCAAATGTCTCAGTCTCCACGGGGAGCAACATCAGCCCAAGGTCACTGTATAAACCTGAATTCCTAGTAGAAGCACCACAGTTTCCTCAGCAGGCCAGGATTTAGGGAGAACTGCTAGCTTTCGGTGGGCACTGATGGAGACCGATCCGTCGACGACAGCGCCTTCCCGGCAGGCGGACGTAGGACGGATACCTGTCGAATTGGAGTCCATCTCGACACCACCCCCTTCGTCGTCTGGAGCCACGCCGGTTTCTTCCGCGCCCCCTTCGACGACGCGTGCCATACCGGAGGTGGCAGCGCCCACCTCGACGTCGCGAGCCATACCGGTAGTGTTACAGCCGGTTGTTACGGACCAGTGTTCGACGGCCCCTTCGACGACGCGTGCCATACCGGAGGTGGCAGCGCCCACCTCGACATCGCGAGCCATACCGGTAGTATTACACCCGGTTGTTACGGACCAGCGTTCGACGGCCCCTTCGACGACGCGTGCCATACCGGAGGTGGCAGCGCCCACCTCGACGTCGCGAGCCATACCGGTAGTAATACAGCCGGTTGTTACGGACCAGCGTTCGACGGGTATTCCGGTCACTGTTGAAGTGGGTGGTGCATAGACCGAATTCCCTTCGACAGGTCAATCCATACCTGTTGTCGTAGAACCCATCTCGACAACAAATGCCCCCTTTACACACGAGGCTCCTGCTCACCGTGCACCATCGTCGACAGCCCACCGCTCGACGGAACCTTCAGTTGGTGCACCGACCTAGACAGGTGGGCGACGTAGGAGAGCGAGGGCTGTTCCGCCTGAGGTTCGCCAACCACCCCCTACCGGCACATCCGCTTCTCGAGCCGGCCCCGCCGCTCCTAGGCGCACTTCGACGAGACCAAGCAGAGAGGACTTAGCCAAGAACGTCCCTGAAGCGACGGACGATGACGATGTTCGGACGGGAGAACAGCAGGAGGCGGACGATGTCGAACCGCCAGACCCTCTGCGGCCTGCTGCGGCAAATATATCAGAGGAGGATGCCGCGCACATTCTCGGCGACCAACCGGGCGCAGACAATCCGTACTTGGCGACTGGAACACTTAAAAGCAGAATCTTCCGGTGTGAGGTTCCGCTGCTGGGAGTTGACCAGGATTCCACACGGCAAAACTATGTCTCTGGAAGCATGCACTACAAAGCTTGGGCCTGTAAAATTCTGGCACCCGAGGAAAGCAACGGAGTGCCTAAAGAGGAGCAGGTGATCTACGAGGACGAGATCGGTAGGGAGATCGGCGACGATATGGGGCCGAGATGGAGGGAGGCGCTGCGTAACGAGGAGCACCTGCATGGGCCGAAAATAACGAAGTGGCGCTTGCGCGCGTACGTCGAATACATGTCGACTGAAACCAACCAACAGGCGGCTTCGTTGGACACAGGCCGGACCAGAGTCGCTGGAAGGAAGGCGAAAAAAAGCACCCCTCCGATGATGCTGGCGCGCCTTGCTGCGCTGACGTGCTTCTGCAGAGTAGAGGCCATACTCTTCGACGAGCCACTAACGAAACCCTTGGACGACATCACCGAGGCCCGGCAGCTTCTTGCGGTCAAGCTGCGGCAGCTGCACGACTTTCAGTTCGAGTAAGTAGGCTGCCATACACCGGACTCTAAAACTTTTCACTCAAATTCTCACCCAACTACTCGCTGTATCTGCCCACTCAATGCAGGCAGTGCGTCGATCCACACCGGGGCTCGCTCGACGATGTTTACACGGAGGAGCAGTTCCGCATTCTCGTTTCAGACATCCTGCCGTACTGGGCCAAGGAGTACTTTCGGGAGTCGATGAGTTACCCCAGTCAGTCGCTGTGGAGGGCCTTGGCCGTGAGGGTGATGATCCTGATGGCGCATCACATGCTGGGCAGGGGGATAAGCATCCGCGAGATCCGCTACTGCAATATGTTCACTCACGTCCTTCCGCCCATCACGAACAGCAAGGGGGAATCCTCTATCCACGTTCTCGTGGTCGCCTATTGCAACTCGAAGACCATCAAAGACAACAAGCTCGGCCACCTGTACATGACTCGACACATGGACTTCCGGCAGTGCGGCTTCGGAGCAGTGTTCATGTGGATACATTTCATTTTCGACCTTGTGCCGCTCTACTACAACAACGATAAGATCGTGCCCCCCTTGGATTTCAGCAACCCGGAAAATTGGTCAAAGAAGCACCTGTTCTTCGCCCTCTTCGACAAAGACAAGACCGAGTTGCCGTACGCGACTCATGCCAAATGGGTTACCTGGGCGATGAAAAGCGCGGAGTGGATCCTATCGAAAGTCACACATATCTTTCGACGGTCTGCGGCACAGATCCTCGCCGACAAAAACTGTGAACTCGACAACATCGCGCAGCTGGGTCAATGGGACATGAACGAGATGCGCAGGTCATACGTCACAGGCATCCCGCGCGGGGCCATCCAGCTGCAAGCGGGTTTCACGACGGAACCGGGTGACTATTACCTTGGAAGATCGAAGAGCGAAGTACCCGCGAAGGTCCTGAAGGCTATCGAGGAGCACATATTTCCAAAGGCGGAGCAGTGGCTCGACGAGGTATGGATGCGTCGAGCGCTTAGCGTGATCATCGAATGCAAGTTTTGCCCATCTATCTCTCAATGTCACCACGTTTGTTCTTGTTCAGGCGATGGAATGGAACAACGAGCAGGACAAGGAGCATATGTTCTTCGCAGCGAAAATTTTCTTGAAGGCCCTGCAAGCCGTCCGAATGCGAGCGTTTGCGACTGCGAGCGTCACCCTTATGTACATATGTCCGGTTTGTGCAAGGACATGGATTTCCAAAAATGGGCGCTTGACGTGTAC